CTGCTTGTTGTCTTAAGAGAAAGATTCAGAGGTGCACAACCTTGTCAGAGTTGGTCTGTCCAGATAGGAAGCTTTGCTGTGCAGTCCTATGGAAGTTCATCGGTTCTGCTTCTGCTCCAAGGAGCTCTTCAGCCACATTTTAGAACCAGACAGGTCCCTGTGACGCTTGTTGCCTAAAGAAAAGTGCATTATTTATATTCTTATAGGAGCTTCTTAAGCATTTTTCTGTTGGGGACTCTTCATTACTCTGTGATGAGTAAACTAGATATTTCTATCCTCTTCAGCAGTATCTTCAAAGTTTTTGGTGCCCTAAGAACATATTGCTCCAGAGAAGGTCTCATGAAGCAGTAGATATGTCGTATCTGGTAGACATACTAGATGCCAGCTGACCTGAAATTTTACTAGCAAAGAAATGCAGCCTTTTTTTCCTTATGAAGCATTCCACAGAAAAATTATGAATTCTTTGTTTTTCCTTGTATTGTGACCTGACGCTGCTGTGATTTTTTTTTTCTTTGTTCTTTGTATTTCAAAGACATAGATAAGAAATTGTGCCAGCTGTATAGAGTCTTTTAAAAATGCTTGTGACTAGAGATATATGGTTTCTTCTGTACTGAAATAGTTAGCTGTTTCAAGGCTGGAGAGGCACTGCCTTTAACAATGTTTTATGGTGGCAGTGTGTGATAGCCAGAGGCAACTGTGTTTGAAAACAGAGGAGTAACCTTATTGCAAAGGAAGCTAGAGACCTAATTAAGGGAAGGAGAAGTTATTTATGGTGGATTGTGTAATTGTTTACTGTTTCAGGTAGAATTGAAAATGCTTACAAAATATATCTTAACTTTATATTCATTCCCTTGCACTTCGATTACCTTAGACATTCTTAAATTACATGAGTACATGTTCATAAAATTGCAAAAATGGAAGATTTTTAGGGAGTTTTAATGGGCCTAGGATACACATACTCATGTATTATATGGAGCATGTTCATAACAAAGTGCATTCTTTCAAAATTGTCCTTTAAAAAGAATATGGTTGCAGCAGCTAGAACAAATAACATACCAAGAGATTCACTTTGTATTAGGAGAGGAAAATGAATGTTTGAAATGTCCTTGTCATTGACCACTTGATCTTTCAACCTTCATTATAGCATTTTACACATGTGTTTTCATTTAATTCTTACATTCTTATGGAGTTGGAATAATTTAAAACTTCTAGGGAATTACACTGCTGCTCATTTCCATTAGATTTGACAATGACATTGTAAGTTATTTTCCCAGCAATTACCTTGTGTAGTTCATAAGTTCAAAAGGTATTAAGTTCAAAGCTTGAGACCTTAGATCCAAGCAAAAAAAAAAAAAAAAAAAAAAAAAAAAAAAGTAGCAGAAGGTGGTTTATGATGATTTAATTATCTTTGAAACAGATTATATTCACCAAGCCTAAGAGAGAGATTAAAGAAAATTGATGGAAGATGGAAGAACTACCTTTAGCTTAACGTGGTTTAGTTATCCAATGTGTATTACGAGTAATGAAACTGGGGCAGGGAGAGGTGAGGAGAACGGAAGGTACTTCACAAAAATCCTTGAGAAGTTTTGATCCCTGAATCTTTTAGGTTGTCAGGAGCCTCATGAGATCATTTAGTCCAATGTCCCTGTTTGGGCAGGGTCAGCGAGAGCAGGTTGCCCAGGACCATATGCAATTGGGTTTTGAGTATCTCCAAGGTCAGACTCCACAGATTCTCTGGGCAACCTGTTCAAGTGTTTGACAGCCCTCACAGAAAGAAATGTGTTTTCTTGTGTTCAGAAAGAATTTCATGTGTTTTAATTTGTGCCCATTGCCTCTTGTCCCGTCACTTGTGAGTGAAACCCATCAGGCCCCATGGACTTCTGTATGTCCAGGTTTTTTTAAGTGCTCCCTAAACCTGGTGATCCTCTACTAAGGGTAAGTCTTCCTTCCTCCAGGGTTTCCCTCTGGTCTTAGGGGCCTGGGATTCCTGAAGGACAGTTTTACTAGTAAAGAAGGGGTTTTACTAGTAAAGAAGGCATTAAGTGCCATGGCCTTATTCTGTGACATTTTTCACCAGGTCCCTTCCTCTGTTCAGCAGTGGGCTCATGATTTCCCTAGTCATCATCTTTTCTTTCTTGATGTTCTTTGCCAGATTCAGCTCCAGGTTGGCTTTGGCTGTCTTAACACCATCCATACAAGATTAGATAGAAACTCTCTGCTCCTCTTGGGTCACCTGTCCTGCTTCCAACTCTTCTACACCACCTATTTGTATCTTGAGTTCAGTTAGGTGCTTCTTGCTTATCCATGCAGGCCTTTGGCAGCCTGTGCTTGACTTCCTACTTGTTGGGATGGATCTTTCTTGAGCTTATAGAATCCTTAAGTGTCAGCCAGCTCTCCTGGATCCCTCTAATCTCCAGAGCTCTATTCCATGGGTCTATTCCAAGAAAATGCCCGAGGCCAAAGTCTGCTCTCCTGAAATCCAGCACTGTGGTCCTGTTTTTTGCCCTGTTCCCTCCTCTTCGGATCTTCAACTTTACCATCTCATGGTCACTGCAGCCGGTGCTGCCCCTGTGACTTCCACATCCCTGAATAGTCCTTCCTTGTTTGTAAGTGTCATATCCAGGAGGGCACCTTCCTTGTTGGCATCTTGATCACCTGTGTCAGGAATTCATCATCAATGCACTCAAATCTCCTAGACTGCTTGAGCCCTGCTGTCTTGTCCTTCCAGCAGATGGCAGGGTAGTTAAAGTCCCCCATGAAGACCAGGACCCGTGAAAGACTGCTTCTGGGTGTTTGTAGAAGGCCTCATCTACTTCTGCCTGATCAGGAGGTCTACAGCAGTCTACCCACTACAAGAGGGGGTAGGCAGACCACCATCTTGGTCTGTCCACTTATCTTGACATTTAAGCTTTTGACTGACTCCAGTTGCATACCAAGGCACAGAGCTTCACGTGTTCCTGCTCCTTCCTCACATAAAGGGCAACTTCCCCTCCTCACCTTCACAGCCTGTCCTTCCTAAGAAGACTGTCTCCCTCCGTCCCAGCACTCCAGTCATGTGAGCTATCCCACCACATCTCCATGATCCCAGGGAGGTCATAGCCCTCTAACTGCACATAGACTTCTAATCTTCCTGTTTGGTCCCCATGCTGCATGCCCTAGTGTAGAGGCATTTCAGAAAGGCACCTAAGCGTGCTGATTCCCCAGGACAGGCTTGAGACCTTTCCCATCAGGCTGTTCTGCAGGCACGTCCTTCTTTACATGCCTGCACTCAAAGGGATACCACTTCAGCTCTTTTTTGTTGATTGCCATTTCCTTTCTTCTCACACCACCCCAGGCCCTTGGTCTGCCTACCCTGTCCCCAGCTTCCTTAGCTGCTTGTTGAGGAACCAATCCCTCCCCTGTTGTTTCTAGTTTAAAGCTCTGACTACCAGCTTGGCCTGCCTGTTGGCAAAGGTACTTTTTCCCTGTTTAGTCAGGTAGATCCCATCTCTTCCAAGAAACTGTTGACTCTCAAAGATGGTTCCACAGTTGTAGAAACCGAAACCCAGCAACTGGCCAGCAGCCAGTTGATCAGCACAAAAATATTGGCTCTTGTCACTAAGAGGGATGGGCTGCACCCCCCATCTGTCCTGGGTGGCACGTGAAGCCTAGAGGGCCTTAAGCTTCTATGCCAGATACTGCCCTTCTGTGTGTCCTGCTCCCCTCAGGAGTTGAGACATTGGAAACGCAGTAATCCACAAAGTGCTTGAAAGCCATGGCCTGGCATCCTGGTCCCTGCAACGCTCCATTTCTAAAAGGATTGAGCCCCAGTCATTTGAGATCCTCTGCTGTAGCTATGAGCAACCTCTTGCCATCCTTGCTGTAATACTTGCAGGCAATTAACCCTTTATATTACCTTTGTCTGCCTAAATCTGCTTCGTATAGGTTTGTTTAAGTTATATGGCAGAGCCCCTTTTCCTACATTTAGCGAAAAAGGCTTAGTTTCAGGTTTGAGCCACTGTTCTTCAAAGAGCAAGTTACTTACAAGTAGTCACTCCTTCTGCATGTGTTCAATAACCATGTTTTGATTTAGTTTTATTAGATTTAAAATCAATATTGCTTTTCATACCAATGACCTAATCCTTATTAAAGCTCTGCCCTGACAACTTTCAAAGTTCAGCAGTTTCTTTATAAGCCTATGAAACGGGTACAGCCTGAGTTCTTTTAAAGAAAGGAAGTTGATTTATTTACCTATGCTGGGTTTAAAAACAGTTCACTTTTTTTTTTTTTGTTCCAAATAAAAATCACAAGCAGTCTGAGATGGAAAACTGTGAATTTTATCTTGCCAGTGTACTTTCAAACAGTCTGAGCCTGTGTGAATTATAGTGAAAATTATATTGTTCCCTTTGTTTTAGCAGCCACTTTCAGAGACATTCCGTACCTCTAGTTAGGAAGATCTGGTTAGAATGATGCTTTTATTGCAGTTTGCTCTGTACGGATGCTGTAAGTTGAGTGTCCTCAGTTTCCTCCTAACTAACTTCATAAGAGTGCGAGTTTTGGAGGAATCTTTCCACGACAGCCTCTCACTTTACAAACAAAATTCAGAGGGTGATTCAAGAAGAAGCAGGGGAAACAAGGTAGCAGAAAGCTTCTTAGAAGGTTTTTGTCTCTCTTGAATTTAATTGCCAAATGTATTGATGGTTATGCTTCTCCTGTGTGGGTCTGTGAATGGAGTAGCATCCATAGTTGTGCAGGCGCAAGAGGCTCTTACTTCTTCAGAGGGAAAAACAAGTGCAAAATGAAGGGGTTGTCATTACTTGGGACACGGGATTTCATAGTGCTTAATGCCAAGGTTGACCTGACCTTTCTCTTGAGTGGTTGTTTTGAACCTAGTTTATAAAATAAAAGCTATAATTCACAATTGCTGTTTTCATGAAGCTGGTTCTTTGAGGAGAACAGAGTGAACTTCACCTGTGATGAGTTACATTTTATTTATTGGTTAACGTCTGTGTTGTTTTCAGATTATATCAAAACCCAACGAACCAGCTCGCCAGCATGAAAGCCACCCTGAGGAGACAGAAGAAGAGTTACGGGAACACCAAGCCCTTTTGGAGGAGCCATACGGTGACAGAGTCACAAGCCAAAAGGAGGCCCCAGGGCTGGCCAACATGGTGCAAGTGAAGCAAGAACCCATCGAGAGTGATGAGGAAGAAGCAGAGCCGCAGCAGGAGCTGGAGTCTGGGCAGAGGCAGGCTGAGCAGGAGCTGCTCTTCCGTCAGGTGAGCTCGCAAAATACCAAATTTGGGACTTGTTTCTTTGTAGAATGTTTGTTTCTTGGTAGTCACCTTTACTACTCTAAGGGGGAGGAGCTAGGGGGAACCAGCTCTTGAGGATTTGCTACGTGAAGAAACCTGCAGGTAAAATCAGTGCCATCCTTCCCTGGAGTCACCATGTCAACTCGGAAGTCCCAGGGAGGACAATCTGGATGACCTGCAGTCGATGCATTTGTAGCAATTGAACCGCTTTCTCTTTGTTTCTTTGTGAAGACAAGTATGTCTTAATATTTTTGAGCCCTGAATACTGGCAGAGGATTTTATGTTTTAAAATAAATTGACTGCCATGGAGAATGGCTGGATAAGGGAGTGAAGGATGAGGTTCATTGGATGGGGTTTCTTCTTCAGAGCTGGAGATCCCAGAGATTGCAGCTCTGCTCACTTTTGAGGGTAAACATCAGTGGCTTGTGGATTGCAAGTAATAAATCCAATAATAACATAGCATAACGTAATCTGCCCAATTACATGTCAGTCTCCCTGTTGTGGTAGCAGTAATGAAGGTGAGAAAATTGCAGTTCTCGTAAGGCATCAGTGCTCTGCTCATCTTTGCAGCCCTTAGCACTCAGCCTCTGACTGTACCTACAGCCGTGCGTAACTCCCACACGGGATCAGCAGCCAAGAGCAGATTGCTGTAGCCATGCCAGGGTATAGCTCTCTGAGTAAATCCACAGCCCTTTGCTAGGGGAAGTGGACTCATGCCAGGTTTGCAGTTGCAGTGTCTGTGAATCAGGTGCAAACTGGTTGCTCCCTGTAGTCATTTGCATCTCACTGCTCACTGCCCTCTTCCTAGCACTGAGGAGCTGACTTGCCTGTCCCACATGGGTGTCACTGGCTGTTGCTCAGAGACTACATTTTCCATTCCTTACTGAGCAGCGTTTTCTTTGTAACAGCGCTGCTTTGAAGGATCAATGCTGTTGCTGCCCGTGCTTGTACAAAGTGTTATTTGATTTATATAGTCACATCTGAGCACCATTGTCTTAGTAAATAAATAAAATGTAATGTGCTGCTAGTGATGGACCATGGTGATACCGTTCCTCTGAAAGTGCAGCCCACCCAGCCCTAGTCCTGGATACGTGGTCACACTTGAGGAGTCTTAAAGATATTATGTCTTCTGCCATTGTTTTGCCTCAAAGAGGAGAGGGAATAAATAGAGGAAATGAGAAGGTTGTTGGGCTGTGGTTGGAGTGTGGCAAGCTGGAACAGCCATCCCTTCTGACCAAGAGCCTGTCCAGCTGATGGTGCGGCTGCACAGAGAACCAGCTCGGTGGAAAACTCCCTCTCCTGCCTGGGGTCTGGTTGAGCTGGACTCATTCCCTGGTCTGGAGCATCACACTGCTAAATACACCACTGCAGCAGTGAAGAGGCACAGGGGGAGGAAGATGTGGCCAGACCCGAGGGGAGGATGGGGCTGTTTCTAGTAATGACCTTACCAGTGTTCACCAGCTTCAGGGCTGTGGTTTGAACACGTTGCACTTGCCTGACTGCTCCAGAAATGTGCGTGTCTTCATTTGCTGCACATGTGTGCATCTGCTCATTTATCAGGGAAAGGATTCCAAGCCTGCGAACTTTAAAAACTCTTAAAAACCCATCTACGAAGGCACCACACAGACTTTCAGCAACTACCTGCTTCTTTTCCCTGCAGCAAGCCCTTCTGTTGGAGCAGCAACGTATTCACCAGCTGAGAAACTACCAGGCATCACTGGAGGCAGCTGGCATGCCCGTCTCTTTCGGAGGGCATCGGCCTCTGTCCCGTGCACAGTCCTCACCTGCCTCGGCCACCTTCCCAATGTCCGTACAGGAGCCACCCACTAAGCCAAGGTTCACAACAGGTAATGTTTTGGGGCACTGGAGGCTGAAGTGATGGGGCTGTGGTTACCATTTTGCCTTCTGTGTGCTTTTCTGCCCTGGCCCTGCAAAGCCATCTGTTCGGGATCTGTGTCTCATCTGCATTTGGGGACTCCATAACACCCTATCTTCGACAAGGATAAGATTCAGTTGTCCTGTGCCCTGTTGTCTTGCTTGTCCCTTCCCCGGAGGGAAAGGCACCCTACAGTCCAGACAGAAGATAACCTGCAAAAATCAATAGAAGCATAGCACAGTGCTTTAATTATGTATCTCCAGAAAAAAAAGTACAAGTCCTATGCTTGACAAGGCTGATTTAGGTGCAATGTGCAGAGAGGCAATGTTATTGAAAAAGGATAGCATGCCAAATGCAATATCTGTTGGCTGTGTTTTCTGCACCTTCTCCAGTCCCTGCACAATCTCATGCCATAAGTTATCCATCCCGGGCTCTGTGCCAGCCTACCCCTCCTTATGAAACACTATCTCTGCCCAGGAGTTTGTGCCTGTAGGTTAAAAAAGTGAGGTGGGTTGATTATTTAAAGTTGTTAGGGTGCAGAAAGAGGCTGAAGAGTCTTTTCTATTGGGTCTTTTCTATTGGGTCTTCATCTTGAGAGAAAATTATGAGTGCAATTCTGCATTTGTCAAGTGAAAACCAGAAATGCAAAAAAGGTGTTAATCTCCCCACAAAGGTGAAAAATAATTGTTCATGCTAAATCCTGACAACCAACTTTTTTCCACCAAAATCCTTTCTGTCTATTCAGTAGCCTTAGTACCAGATAAAAGCTAATTTATGTGCAACTTTTCAAGCCCTGTGTTGGGTGATTAGGCGGACTTATTTTGAATTCCGCCTTCTTCCCCAAATGTCAAGCTCTATTTTGTGAATGAACATTTTGCAATGTGATGTGTGCCCTGGGAAGAGGAAGGGAAAAAAAAATCCAGAATGCCCAAGTAAGAGCAACTCATGATTTTGTTTCTCTTTCACTTACCCATTTATTCTTATTTAACCCACGCTTTTTGCATCATTAAAATCAGCACTGTGAATCGGATTTATTTTCAGATGCTGATGGTATAGTAATAGTGATATATTAAATATGACTTTGTTCTTCAGCTGCTAGCTGCAGGGTGGGAAGCATGTGCGATCAACTCTCTAAAAGCCCAAGCAGTATCCCATTTTTGCAAATCAGCCCTGTCAGTCTCTATTTGTTGTTAATATTGAAACCTTGAATTTCAGCAAAACTTCATTTCTAATGCAACCAGTTATAGCAAGATTAGTCTAGATTTTGGCTTTTGCCAAGGATACAAAGAAGGGTAGTCCCCTGGCTCACGGTCAAACCAGATGAAATTTGAGCATCTAAGACGTTTAGACCCAAATCTGGGTGCTTTAGAAACAAGGAAGCCTGGTCCTACTTTAAGAGATTATTCATTCCTTCTCTTTCTTCCCTTCTCCTCCTCCAGTATTTAAGTTGCCTTGTCAATCATACGCAAGACTTTGAACATACAATAATGTTTCCTACCAGAGGATATAAGTTTAACTCAGATACGTGCCTCTAAATTCTATTTAAAATTACAGGTAACAGTAAGAATGTGGATTTTGAGAACTATGCTGCTTTGAAAAGACATTGTTACAACGTTATGATTTATTTTTCTTGGAGGCAGGGTTTAAAAACAAAAACGTGACTTAAAATAAGAGGAAGAATATCACATTGCTTTTATATAGCACCAGACAATCCGATGTGATGATATGAAGAATGCTTATTGTATTTCACCTGGTAAATATCCTTTTCATAACATTTATCCATATTAAAGACTCCAGGGGCTTGATTTTTCCATTGCCATATATCTCATGCAGTTCTCTACATGTATGCTAGGTGAATTGAGGAGGAAAAATACAATAAAATGCTGACAGGGAAGGAAGTGTTGGGCATTCACTGGCACTAATAAAGGTGCAAAGCACAGAAGGTGAGACCTTTATAGTAGTCCTATAACTAGTCCTTCACCTCCTATAAAAGGTGAAGGACTAATTTAATTAACCATCATCATCTGCTTAAGAGCGGCAGGAAGAAAAGAGCCTGCTATTATGGGCATGCAAGCATAGAAAAGAAAGGCAGGCATTTCAGCTGTTGAGCATGTGTATGCGAGTTAGATTGCTAATGTTTTCTTGAAGTTGTCCACGGTGTGTTGGAGATTGTGATTTTGGAGGAGGATACTAAAGCTTAATCACTGGGATGAACTATTCTTTGAAAGGCAGGAAATTAGTGTCTCGGGTATTTTTCAAAACAAGCAGTGCTGAAGTGCATCAGGCTTCTTTTTCGTTGGAAAATCCATCTGTTTGATAAGTGACTGCCTTGGAGACTGATCCTAACATGATTATGCGCTTTGGATTTCAGAGAAATTAAGATTTGAATTGTTGTGATCATTTTGTGAGAGGGCTGGAAAAAACAAACCTCATTCAATGGCCCTAATGAAGCCAACCGTGATTGCTCTAGACACGAATGTGGCTCTTAAGAGATCAGTTACTGTCCAACAGACAAAGGAATTGTTCATCACTTTCACATTTCAGTTATCATGTAGAAAACACTAATGCTTTCTCTGGACAGACTTAGAACCAGACAGCTGGAAATTCTGGGGTTTATGTATAATTTATTCTCCTGTCTCTATTGGTGACCAGTACCTGAGACTTCAAAGATATAGGGAAA